CATGAAATGCACGGCGTCCGAGGAGCCGTCCTGAACAAGTCTGGAACCCGAGGGGGCCGACTGCGAGTAGCCTGAGTAGCCCTTCTTCCAAGACCACCAGCTCTTCTTCCAACGGCCGTAGTAGCTCTTTGGCGCTTCCGGCTCTTCCGTGGTCGTTGCTTCCGGTGCTTCCGTGGTCGTGGTGGTTGGCTGGGTGATAGGCCCCACCTTCACCATGTCTCCGTACGAAGTCAACGCAAGAGGACCGAGCAAGCGTCGTGTGCCATGGTAGCGGGCTTTGAAGCTGTGCAAGCACTTGCTGTTGTCCCATGAAATAAAGCGCTTGGCGATCGCATCCACCTCCTTGACAACCTTCTGGTCGTCAGAAATGTCCTTGAAGATGAGCTTGCCGAGGCTGCCACCATCCGGGGCGGACTCCAGGTAGGCGACTGCGGCTGTCCCCGGAACCTTGCCGTTCACCCAGTGGGTCACGTGATCCGCATGCTCCTGCACATCTCCGCTCTTCCGGGAGACTGGGACGGAAGACTTGGAGGCCTCCAGCTGGGCTGCCTCCTTGCCAGTCATGGTTTCCCGAAGACGCTTCTCTAGAGCTGCGTGGCCCGCGACTTCGTGGATGAGCTTGACCCCCACGGGCTCCCCCACGGGCTCCAGCACTTCCACAGCGCTGGAGAGCTGTGCCTCCTGCTCTTTTGACCTCAGCTCGGACTTGAGGCGCTGCGCGAGCACTGGTGCCTCCTGGCTCACGCGCTCGAAACCGCTCCTCTGCGGCTTCTTCGCCTCGAGGTCTGTGATCACGGCCTGCGCTTCAGCATCGGACAGGAAGTTGTCGATGACCTTGATGGAAGACAGGCACGTCACGTCCGGACTGGCAAGGGCCTGTGCCAGGAGAAGTGGTGCCAAAAGCCAGGATCCAGCCATGCTGCAGCCGACGCGAGGGTTCCGAGCAAAGCTTCTCAAAGTCACTCGAGCCGCAAGGACTCTTCCCACTGCCTTTCGGTTCAAGGTTCCGTTCTACCCATTAACCCATTAACCCAACCATTCTGGCCAAATGAAATTTCCTTAACCCATTAACCCATTAACCCAATCATGCTGGCCAACTGAAATTGCCATAGCCCATTAACCCATTAACCCATCAACCCAATCATTCTGGCCAAATGAAATTGCCTTAACCCATTAACCCATTAATTCAATCAATCTGGCCAAATGAACTTGGGAGTAGAGTCCAGTCCTACTTGGACAAACCATTGGGTTAATGGGTCAATGGGTGGGGCAAATGATTGGGTTAATGGGTTAATGGGTTAAGGCAATTTCATTTGGCCAGCATGATTGGGTTAATGGGTTGGGCAACTGATTGGGTTAATGGGTTACTGCGTTAATGCGTTAATGGGTTGATGGGTTAAGACAACTTCATTTGGCCAGAATGATTGGGTTAATGGGTTAATGGGTTGGGCAACTGATTGGGTTAATGGGTTACTGCGTTAATGGGTTAATGGGTTAAGACAATTTATTTGACCAGAAAGATTGGGTTAATGGGTTAATGGGTTGGGCAAATGATTGGGTTAATGGGTTACTGCGTTAATGGGCTAATGGGTTAAGACAATTTCATTTGGCCAGAATGATTGGGTTAATGGGTTAATGGGTTGGGCAAATGATTGGGTGAATGGGTTAATTGGTCGGGCAAATGATTGGGTTAATGGGTTAATGGGTCGGGTTGGAGCCTCCTGCGGATATGTTTCGAAACAGACACTAGTGCCCAAACCAGATAGCAGAATCCATGAATAGAAAAGCGAAGTTGCTGAAATGCAGGGGGGGAATGACTACCTACCCATATATATATATATATATGTATATATATATGTATGTATATATGTATATATATATAGAGAGTTATATAGGTATACATATACAGAGCTTGCAGAGACTCAGCTACAGTCCTGAATCTGGAAACTTCCAACTCCAAGCACCAAGGCCCTAAAGAGATCAGGGAGCTTGATGCCTGCTGATACTGTTGACGATATACAGTACGTTCTGAATTATCTTAGGAACCCTAAACGAATTATCTTAGGAACCCTAAACTATGGGAATTATGGTATATGTCTTATTATGGAGAATGCAGGATTTATACCATCAACCGTCTTGCGGATGCCAATCGGCATCTGGTAGCTTTAGCCTTTAACCAAAACCCTCCTTCAGAGTCACGCCCGCACAGCACATGTGACACATTTTTGTGAGTCCTTCCAATCGCCACGATTTCTCGCAAGAGCACCATGAACATTGCACTCGTCCGGGCGAGACACACCAAACCGAGATCTACAGGCCGCTTTTGGGCCGCCTCCCTGGCGCTCTTCCCGCCGGCACTTCGGAAGTGACAAACTCCTTCAAAGCCCTCTGAGTCTGATTGACGTGGAGAATGCCGGTTGGGGAGAAGCTTGGAAGTTGTCAAAACTGGATAATACGGAGTCGTAAGCGTCTTGCGGCTCACAGCTCCTTCTGGCTACCGTTCTTGTCAATCTGCATGAAATGCACGGCGTCCGATGAGCCGTCCTGAACAAGTCTGGAACCCGAGGGGGCCGACTGCGAGTAGCCTGAGTAGCCCTTCTTCCAAGACCACCAGCTCTTCTTCCAACGGCCGTAGTAGCTCTTTGGCGCTTCCGGCTCTTCCGTGGTCGTTGCTTCCGGTGCTTCCGTGGTCGTGGTGGTTGGCTGGGTGATAGGCCCCACCTTCACCATGTCTCCGTACGAAGTCAACGCAAGAGGACCGAGCAAGCGTCGTGTGCCATGGTAGCGGGCTTTGAAGCTGTGCAAGCACTTGCTGTTGTCCCATGAAATAAAGCGCTTGGCGATCGCATCCACCTCCTTGACAACCTTCTGGTCGTCAGAAATGTCCTTGAAGATGAGCTTGCCGAGGCTGCCACCATCCGGGGCGGACTCCAGGTAGGCGACTGCGGCTGTCCCCGGAACCTTGCCGTTCACCCAGTGGGTCACGTGATCCGCATGCTCCTGCACATCTCCGCTCTTCCGGGAGACTGGGACGGAAGACTTGGAGGCCTCCAGCTGGGCTGCCTCCTTGCCAGTCATGGTTTCCCGAAGACGCTTCTCTAGAGCTGCGTGGCCCGCGACTTCGTGGATGAGCTTGACCCCCACGGGCTCCCCCACGGGCTCCAGCACTTCCACAGCGCTGGAGAGCTGTGCCTCCTGCTCTATTGACCTCAGCTCGGACTTGAGGCGCTGCGCGAGCACTGGTGCCTCCTGGCTCACGCGCTCGAAACCGCTCCTCTGCGGCTTCTTCGCCTCGAGGTCTGTGATCACGGCCTGCGCTTCAGCATCGGACAGGAAGTTGTCGATGACCTTGATGGAAGACAGGCACGTCACGTCCGGACTGGCAAGGGCCTGTGCCAGGAGAAGTGGTGCCAAAAGCCAGGATCCAGCCATGCTGCAGCCGACGCGAGGGTTCCGAGCAAAGCTTCTCAAAGTCACTCGAGCCGCAAGGACTCTTCCCACTGCCTTTCGGTTCAAGGTTCCATTCTACCCATTAACCCATTAACCCAACCATTCTGGCCAAATGAAATTTCCTTAACCCATTAACCCATTAACCCAATCATGCTGGCCAACTGAAATTGCCATAGCCCATTAACCCATTAACCCATCAACCCAATCATTCTGGCCAAATGAAATTGCCTTAACCCATTAACCCATTAATTCAATCAATCTGGCCAAATGAACTTGGGAGTAGAGTCCAGTCCTACTTGGACAAACCATTGGGTTAATGGGTTAATGGGTGGGGCAAATGATTGGGTTAATGGGTTAATGGGTTAAGGCAATTTCATTTGGCCAGCATGATTGGGTTAATGGGTTGGGCAACTGATTGGGTTAATGGGTTACTGCTTTAATGCGTTAATGGGTTGATGGGTTAAGGAAATTTCATTTGGCCAGAATGATTGGGTTAATGGGTTAATGGGTTGGGCAACTGATTGGGTTAATGGGTTACTGCGTTAATGGGTTAATGGGTTAAGACAATTTATTTGACCAGAAAGATTGGGTTAATGGGTTAATGGGTTGGGCAAATGATTGGGTTAATGGGTTACTGCGTTAATGGGCTAATGGGTTAAGACAATTTCATTTGGCCAGAATGATTGGGTTAATGGGTTAATGGGTTGGGCAAATGATTGGGTGAATGGGTTAATTGGTCGGGCAAATGATTGGGTTAATGGGTTAATGGGTCGGGTTGGAGCCTCCTGCGGATATGTTTCGAAACAGACACTAGTGTCGAAACCAGATAGCAGAATCCATGAATAGAAAAGCGAAGTTGCTGAAATGCAGGGGGGGAATGACTACCTACCCATATATATATATATATATATATATATGTATATATGTATGTATATATATATAGAGAGAGAGAGAGAGAGTTATATAGGTATACATATACAGAGCTTGCAGAGACTCAGCTACAGTCCTGAATCTGGAAACTTCCAACTCCAAGCACCAAGGCCCTAAAGAGATCAGGGAGCTTGATGCCTGCTGATACTGTTGACGATATACAGTACGTTCTGAATTATCTTAGGAACCCTAAACGAATTATCTTAGGAACCCTAAACTATGGGAATTATGGTATATGCCTTATTGTGGAGAATGCAGGATTTATACCATCAACCGTCTTGCGGATGCCAGTCGGCATCTGGTAGCTTTAGCCTTTAGCCAAAACCCTCCTTCAGAGTCACGCCCGCGCAGCACATGTGACACATTTTTGTGAGTCCTTCCAATCGCCACGATTTCTCGCAAGAGCACCATGAACATTGCACTCGTCCGGGCGAGACACACCAAACCGAGATCTACAGGCCGCTTTTGGGCCGCCTCCCTGGCGCTCTTCCCGCCGGCACTTCGGAAGTGACAAACTCCTTCAAAGCCCTCTGAGTCTGATTGACGTGGAGAATGCCGGTTGGGGAGAAGCTTGGAAGTTGTCAAAACTGGATAATACGGAGTCGTAAGCGTCTTGCGGCTCACAGCTCCTTCTGGCTACCGTTCTTGTCAATCTGCATGAAATGCACGGCGTCCGATGAGCCGTCCTGAACAAGTCTGGAACCCGAGGGGGCCGACTGCGAGTAGCCTGAGTAGCCCTTCTTCCAAGACCACCAGCTCTTCTTCCAACGGCCGTAGTAGCTCTTTGGCGCTTCCGGCTCTTCCGTGGTCGTTGCTTCCGGTGCTTCCGTGGTCGTGGTGGTTGGCTGGGTGATAGGCCCCACCTTCACCATGTCTCCGTACGAAGTCAACGCAAGAGGACCGAGCAAGCGTCGTGTGCCATGGTAGCGGGCTTTGAAGCTGTGCAAGCACTTGCTGTTGTCCCATGAAATAAAGCGCTTGGCGATCGCATCCACCTCCTTGACAACCTTCTGGTCGTCAGAAATGTCCTTGAAGATGAGCTTGCCGAGGCTGCCACCATCCGGGGCGGACTCCAGGTAGGCGACTGCGGCTGTCCCCGGAACCTTGCCGTTCACCCAGTGGGTCACGTGATCCGCATGCTCATGCACATCTCCGCTCTTCCGGGAGACTGGGACGGAAGACTTGGAGGCCTCCAGCTGGGCTGCCTCCTTGCCAGTCATGGTTTCCCGAAGACGCTTCTCTGGAGCTGCGTGGCCCGCGACTTCGTGGATGAGCTTGACCCCCACGGGCTCCCCCACGGGCTCCAGCACTTCCACAGCGCTGGAGAGCTGTGCCTCCTGCTCTATTGACCTCAGCTCGGACTTGAGGCGCTGCGCGAGCACTGGTGCCTCCTGGCTCACGCGCTCGAAACCGCTCCTCTGCGGCTTCTTCGCCTCGAGGTCTGTGATCACGGCCTGCGCTTCAGCATCGGACAGGAAGTTGTCGATGACCTTGATGGAAGACAGGCACGTCACGTCCGGACTGGCAAGGGCCTGTGCCAGGAGAAGTGGTGCCAAAAGCCAGGATCCAGCCATGCTGAAGCCGATGCGAGGGTTGCGAGCAAAGCTTCTCAAAGTCACTCGAGCCGCAAGGACTCTTCCCACTGCCTTTCGATTCAAGGTTCCGTTCTTAGGCTTCAGACGTACAGCTCCTAAGGTTGAAGCTCTACAGATTCACTGCAGGAGACGATGGGTTCTCAAAGGGTCGGACTCCTCACGTGCACAGAAACCTCGCATCACTGTGGCATGTGACAGCTGCAGAGGTCCGTGGGGATTGAGAAGCAAAAGTCAGTAACCCCGACGAACCGTCGCTGCTCATTTATCCTGCGTAGCCTGCCTCCGTTTTCCGAACGGCCATAGCCCCTGTACTCCATGGCCAGCACGACCACCTGAGACATTGTTTCTGCATATTATGGGTATCGCACATTCTGGAGCTACAAAAACGAAACATCCTACAGTAGAACATGCGAATACTACGGCATTGTGCAGCCAGCCACTGAACTGCGGACGATTCGCACTTAAACTTTCGATGGGAGGCAATCAAGCCAACTCAACTACCCAATATGGGGGCCTTAACTTTAACTGTCAGAATAGGTAATACAGTAGTCTTCCATTTCCGAGCCTAAGGAATTCCATTGAAAACTATTTGGGGGTGCCACTATAATCCCTAAACCCTAAACCCATAATAACTTGATCGGAGAACCGGACCGACCTCACCAGACAAACGGATCCGGCTGAACGGTCGGACTGGGCTGTCCGGTGTAGGGTTTTGGGGTGCAGGGTTTTGGGTTCAGGGTTAAATTCAGGGTTTAGTTTCCTGGGCTTTTCAGTAACCAGGGAGAAAAAGTATAAACTTGCATTTCATAAGGGTTCCTTTGAGACAAAAGTATTAAAGTATGGTACTTCAAAGCCCAGTTTAGTGTTTAGGGCACATCGGAAGCTTCGAACCCCGACGCGTCTGGGGTGTAGGAGTTAGGAGTTTCGAGTCTTCGTGCATGAACCGTCACGGCGTAATTATAGAAACCAATAATGGCTCATGATCCAGCATGTTCGCCGCGGGATATCCCACTTTGTCAACTCTCCGGGTAACCCAAAACCCGCGATCCCAAACAGGGATTCCGTTTACTATGACCTCAGGCCTACTCAGCAAGCCCGCAGTGCTTCTGAGAGGCATCTAAGTTTTTGCAGCAACGCTTGAAGAAGTCCAGGCGCTGAGAAATATCTCCTCACGGGCTATTCTATGACCTGTCTCGAATCCAACGGCCTTAAGAAACAGTACTGCAGGCCGTTTTCCAGATGATCACAGTACCCTGTAGTCGATTGGCAACTATAGAGATAGAACTTCAGATTGAACCCTGACCGTTTAATTTCTACCTTCTTTCTAGAACTAAAACCTGATACCTGTGATGTTGATAAGAATACCTTAGCTTCGGTTGTCGTCTTAAAGTTTGGTTCTTGCTTGTGTTCTAACTTCCTACGTTGTCAATGATGTTGAAGCCATGTTCCGAGCTGCTTCAAGATGCGTATGTCGCTTTGTTATTCCAGAAACATGTGCTGCCTGTTGCGGTATCGGTGCATTGGACAGCTCCGCACACTCGGATGTAATAAATACAAGAAATAAAATGTGCAACTCCACGTGAGTGACTATGTACCAAATATACCTACATATATGTGTATAGATGTACATGCTCACATACCAACTACCTACCAACCTGCCCACCTACCCACCTACCCAGGTATCTACCTGCCTTCCTACCTTCCTACCTACCCCCCTGCCGCTTGCCTTCCTGACGTACGCACATGCGTAGGCATTCATGCATACATACTTGCACACTTGCATGCTTGCATACTCGGATGATGACATACTTGCATACTTGAATGCTTACATCGTTACATAAATACTTGCTTGCTTGCTTACTTACTGAACGGCACTTGACACACACACACACACAGACACACAGAGACACACCCGCGCGGGCGCGCGGTGGCTAAGCATCCTACATCTCGCTGTCCTTTACCATGCTTCCCGGTACCTAATCTTAACCCCAAAACCCAATACCTAAGCCCCAAAAAATGACTGCACCCCCAAACCCAACAGCCGCATGCCTGCGTTGGAATGGAAGAAGAGTATGGCCGGCCGCCTTCTCTCTCCCTGCTTCCTGGGTTCAGTGCGGGCAGACAAGGGCATAAGGGTTCCTCTGAAGCGAGCCCTAAATTACAAGGTACCCGTTCAAGGAACCCTAAAACGAACCCCTTCAGGGTTCAAATTCTTTGCCTTAGGAGGAAGTTGGGTACCACCAACTCCCGGTCATTTGGAGTGGAGAGAGCAGGCAGCAGATTAAATCAGGATAACGTGAAAAAGGATTGGGGTATGTATACGATACTTATATAACTTACAAAAATACCCGGATTTCAGGGAGATGTTCTTAGTAGTTTCTCCTGGGTCCTGAGCCCTCATGATCCCCGCTAAATCCGGTAAACACTCGTGTAAACTGCAGCAAACCCCTCGGACAAGCAAACCTTGTTCGGCCCTGCAAACAAATTAACCAATGGTATTTATCCAGTCAGACCCCCAGACCGTGAACCAGAACCCCAGATCGTATTCAGGAACTCCGACCGATTGGAGCCGGTTGCGAAGTGGGGCGCGCTGTGAAGCGAAGTGCAGGATGCAGGGTTTGAGGTTTTGGGGCTTAAACCCGGGTTTGAGGTTATGGAGTTTAAGCTTTCAACAGCTTCCAGAGCTTAGATTTTGAGGACCCATTTTCCTTCTGTGCTCGTTACTCCGGCTTCGTATACATTCTTGCACACGCATATGGGTAGTTGTCAAAATTGGGGTTCCTTTTTGGGTACCCTAAATTTATAATAGGGACCCAAAAAGGGCCCATAATTTTGACAACCACCCATATTGGTTGCAAGGCCAAGTTGCTGTAGGCCCAAGAGCCAGGCATGCACCTTTGTTCCATCCCTGCGCGCAAGACATGGGTGGCTGTCAAAATTAGGGTCCCTTCTTGGGTCCCTAATATAGTACGCAGGTGTACTCAAAAAGGGACCATAATTTTGACAACCACCCACATGAATCGAAGGCTTGGAGACACTGGCGATGGATGCCTAGAAGTCGGCCGGAGTATGGTTATGAACCGCTGTTCATGGGGAAACCAGAGGATACTGCAATCAGGGCCATGCAGGGCGAGGTGGGGCTCCGCAACCCTGATTTTAAGCACATTTCAACCCTTATAGAAAGCTCCCTTAGGAACCCGTAGAACACTAACACAAGTCTTCAGCACCGTTCATACAGCAATCTAAACGTTGCACTGCAAGCCCCTTTTGGCATCCCATGTACTGAATGGGAGGTGCCTGTCAAAGTAATCCACATACTCTTGATGAAAGCACCGTCAAAACCAAAACCCTGACCCTAAACTGGAAATTCTAACTCAAGCTGACATGGGGCTGTCTGGGAAGTAATGCTCGCTTCTGGAAGCCTGCTCCTACTATACTGCTATTGGCTAGCCCAAAACCTTGCATGAAACCCCAATATCTCCTAAATGTTCAATCACAAACCTAAACCCTTAAATAACCCTACAATCCTCCATCTTCAACCCCCAAACCTTCCAATCCGACCCGAACCCCTGAACCCTGAACCCCTAAACCCTAAACCCCTAAACCCCTAAACCCCCAAACCCTGAACCCGAACCCCCAAACCCCTAACCCCTAAACCCCTAAACCCTAAACCCCTAGACCCCTATCCCCTAAAGCCTAGCCAGAACAAACCCGACCTGGAGCGGATAAAGTAGCTCTCGTACTGCAGGCCCCAAGCAGACGGCGAGGATCGAACGCCAGATGCAACTCTTGGCCTGCTCGCAAGGGGCGGTCACTTTTGAATGGACCTAAACCCTAAACCGTAAACCCACGACAGGCCCTTCTGTTTGAATATGGGGTTTCGAGAAGTTCTAGTATTTCAGAATGTTTGTACATGGGGTTTTGAGAAAGGGACCTAAATATCAGAATAGGGGTAGGCAAAGGACAATATTATCTTAGAACTATAGCTTGGGGCCGAAAAGCTGGTAGGGTGGCTTGATTTAAGGTTCTGGGTTTTTGTGTTTAAGGCTTCTTGTGGTGTTTTTGTACAGGGTTCTATGGCCTTGGGTTTTCCAGAGGTTGATGGGTCTTAGGAGTTGAAGATTATGTGTATCTGTCTAGAGAGCCCAATACCCCTTCATTACGGAATCTGTTTGGAACCCCAACATCAACGCCCCTAGTAATCAAGGTATAGTAATTCTTTGATTAAGTTGGGCTTTCTGGTGCTTCAAGGTTACTACTACTCCTCCTACTCCTACTCCTACTCCTACTCCTACTCCGACTCCGACTCCGACTCCGACTCCGACGACTCCGACGACTCCTCCTCCTCCTCCTCCTATCACCACTACTACTACTACTACTACTACTACTACTACTACTACTACTACTACTACTACTACTACTACTACTACTACGACTACGACTACGACTACGACTACGACTACGACTACGACTACTACTACTGCTACTGCTACTGCTACTGCTACTGCTACTAGTACTACTACTTTCTATGGAGCTAACAAAAGTTGGCACACTGATGATGATCGAGCTGCGCGCAGTTGCACATCAGCTGATCACGACTTGCATCGCACTGCAGCTTATGTGATTTGGCTTCGCTACGAGCCCGGTTTACGCTGAGAACAAAGCAGACATTCACTGAGTGACTGGTAAGGTAGTGTGATGCTGGTCAATCTGACCCATCACAGATCCCACCCGAGGATCCGTCACGTTAAAGGCGTGATGCTAGCTCGCTAAGCAGACTGGAGTGTCATGCAACGCGGGGAATGAAATGAATAGTACTACTACTACTACTACTACTACTACTACTACTACTACTACTACTACTACTACTACTACTACTACCACCTCACTACCACTAACACTACCAATACCACTACCAATACCCCAGACCACATACCACAAGCACAACCACAACCACTACTATCACTACTACCACTGCCACTACTACCCCTACTAATACCACTACTATGGTTTTACCTTAAGGACCCTGACATATGGGAACAATGGTATATTCCTTATTCAGGGTAATGCAGAATTTATATCATCAACCGTACCACCAACACTACTACCACTACTACGGCTACTACCGCTACTACCGCTACTACCACTACTACTGCTACTACTACTACTACTACTACTACTACTACTACTACTACTACTACTACTGAGGAGGATGAGTAGTAGTAGCAGTAGCAGTAGCAGTAGCAGTAGCAGTAGCAGTTGTAGTAGTAGTAGTAGTAGTAGTAGTAGTAGTAGCAGCATCTGCAGACATGCTTGCATTGCTCTCATCGTGGGTACCACTATGATTCTGCTGGTTTGTTCTGTTCCCTTGTCTGGTGTTACCTATAACTTCAAACCTTCCAATCCTCAAGGCTGAATCCACGGATTCCGGGCCTCCCACTCACCTCCGGCCTGTGTGTACAGGGCTTCCAGACGAAGTAGGCCACTCAGGGTTGTGTTGCATGGTTTAGCGGCTAAGGGCGTAGGGTTGGCACGGTTAGCTTGTAGATGGTTCGGATTTAGGGGTGTTCGAGCATAGGGAGTTTAAGGGCTCATGGCGTTTAGGGCGTTTAGTAATACTACTGTTCCGATTTCAACAGCCGGTAATCGCGGACTCATGCTGAGGCAAGCGGTAATTATATGGAAACTTTCAGGTAAAGCTTCGGACAACCAGGCTTCCTTAAGCCAAAGTCGCACTGGAGGTGAATTCCTGGGTGATGTGCGCAGTTCGATTTTTTCATGCTGCTGCAAACCGGAGACAACTATGTGTAGAAGCAGCAAAGCAGCTGTACATCGCGTTTCTGAGCTACAGGCGATTCACCCTGCTTGCGCAGACTTTTGTGAGTGACCAAGACGGGGCATCGGTGCATCAAATTTAGAACTGAAAAGATGATCGGCGACGAGCCCAGGAACTGTTGCAATGATTCACTGCTACACACAACTGGTTGCATCCTGTCCAGTGAGCCTGAGCCAACCGCGAAGCAACACTCAAAGGGATAAGGAGGCCTCACAACTCCAAACCCAGAGCCTTACTCTGTCATCCTCTTTGCTGCCTTGCACAGGCTCCGAAAGGCAGGTTTCTAGGGGATTCCCGCCTGTATAGAAGCTGCCGCTGCTGCAGAACCAGTGTCGCGATGGGCACGGCCACGGCTGCCAGGACCAAAAAGAACAGCCTGCGAGGCAGAGGAAAAAGCTCCTCCAGCACTCAATGCAAAAAACCCTAAACCCTGAAGCCCTAAGTAGAACTTCAAAACCAAGCTTAACGAGAACGTGCCACCGTCTTTCTCTGAGTTTCTGCCGCCTCTGCCACCACTCACCGCTTGTTCTAACTCTTCTGCTTCTGCTTCTACTTCTACATCTACTACTACAACTAGAACTACTACGCGACTACGACTACTACTGCTACCCCTACTCCTACTCCGACTCCGACTCCGACTCCGACTCCTACTCCTACTCCTACTCCTGCTCCTACTCCTACTCCTACTCCTACTCCTACTCCTGCTCCTACTCCTACTCCTACTCCTACTCCTACTACTACTACTCCTCCTCCTCCTCCTCCTCCTGCTGCTGCTGCTGCTTCTGCTTCTAATACTACTACTACTACTACTACTACTACTACTACTACTACTACTACTACTACTACTACTACTACTACTACTACTACTACTACTACTACAGTCTGCTACTACTACTACTACTACTACTACTACTACTACTACTGCTACTACTACTACTACTACTACTACTACTACTACTACAACTCCTACTACTACTACTACTACTGCCACCACTACTACTACTACTACTACTACTACTACTACTACTACTACTACTACTACTACTACTACTAGTACTGCTACTGCTACTGCCACTGCGACCTGCTACCGCTACTGCTACTGCTGCGCTACTGCCGCTGTTGCTACTGCTACTACTACTACTACTACTACTACTACTACTACTACTACTACTTCTCCTACTACTGCGTCTGGGGCACTGCGTGCGACTACAACTACGACTGCAATGACGACCACTACTACGTTACTACGTCAGTGAGCACTACTTCATCCTTCTTGCGATCAATGCATGCCACTGGTGTGCCGACAAGGCTGAAGAGCACGTGATGATGTTTGACAAAGACGACTATGCTTAAGAGGATATCGGCGAAAAGAATAACAACGTCCGCAAAAGGATGCAGTATGATCCAGTGATTGACTCTTTGAAGAAGTTGATCTTGATTGCCACCCTGATGATGGCGGTGCGTGTAGTGAGACTGACACGATGGTAGACTGTAACTTGCTCTCATGACGGTCGCGATGATCCACAACATGACGGCTGATACAACTCACACCAACAACCACGAGGGCATCGGATAGGGATATCCCATATAAATCCCCCTTATAATGAAGTCCCAATAAGGTAGAGATATCCCCGTAATATGCTCACGCTCATATCTTGTCTTGGGTCCCTAAGATGAGGGCATCAACGATTTTGTTGACGTCGCTTCACGATGCCAGAGACGACGGGATCGAGGTGAAGATGACGAGATATGGCTTTAGGATTTAGGGTTGGCAAGTCATGCTGCTGGTGACAGTCGAAGCTGTGAAGCAGCAGATGATGACGTTCATGGAGCCGTGTTTATGTGGACATGCGCTAGTGGTGATATGATGATGATACATGTCGCGATCATGATGATGCCGATGACAGATGTGGTGACAATGATCTTGAAGATGGTGATCTGATTGTGCCGATGGTGACGACGACAGTGATGGTGCTGGTGATGGCGACGATATTCACGCTAATACCGGGGAGGTGATGAACACATTAGTAATATGGGTAACCGTGTGAACTGTGCTGGTTGCCAGGCATGCAACTGACACACAGGATACTGCCATGATGAAGGTGATAATGGTTCTGAAGACCACGACAAGATGAGGCGTTGTGCATTTGTCTATCTTGTTCGACAAAAGAATATTTGCTGATCTAAATCATCCTTGGTGTGGCATGGCTACCCTGATTGCCCTGAGAAGCCCTTGGCTCATCCAAGCATGATATCAGTGCGTCTTTGATGCTAAACCCTAAAGCACCGATGGCACTGACCACTTTGAGGCCGTCCGTCGTTGAGATAATGCTGCGGTGCTGTCGCTGGAAAAGCTGGAACTTGAGTGCCAAGGGTTGATGGCTTCGGGTGCTTTTTGTGTTTGTGGTTGTGTCGCGGCTTGCTTTGTGCACACCGGCAGAGCACTGCCTGCCCCGGAACTCCTGCAGCAGGTGCCAGTACAGTTCAATGTGATGGAGCAAGTCTCCTCCGCTCATGCCTACGTAAACCGAAGCCATAAAAAGTCGATTGGGGCAGTCAAGCCGCTGTCGGACTGCGGCATCGTGCTCGGCCGGATCTCCATATTGCACCTCTGCACGGCTCCATGCCATATGTGAAGGAGTAAGATGATGTTGATGATGAATGTCATGGTGGTGATGACGACGAACGTGACAATGGTGATGGCCATGATAAGTAAGCGTGAGAAGGCGGATGTCGATGCGACGCTGGCATGTCAACTTCCTTCAGAGTACTCGCTATCATCTTCATCCTCATACCACCATCATTTCCAAGACGCTCATCATCCTCATCAAGGGCATCCACATCAACACCGCCCAAACTCTGTCCGCAACAACTATGTAGTAGCTTGGTCATCAAGACCATAATGATAATGAGCAACAGAATCGTCGTCCCCGTTCTCTCGTCGTCGCGCATAGACGCAGTTGCCAGTACAATAAAAGCAACTTGCATCACAAGCAAGATCAAGCAGTAGGAGGAGTAGGAGTAGGAGTAGCGGTTGTACTAGTAGCAGTAGTAGTAGCCACTGCTGCTGCTGCTGCTGCTGCCGCCGTCGCTGTCGCTGTCGCTGTTGTTGGTGACAAAGGCAACAAACAGACACATCATGAAACAGGGAGGCCAAGCAGCAAAGCAAATATGACAAGACTGTTGAAAATCTGAGGACACTAACGGTTCCGTGGGGCAGCATGAGATGGACCACGTCATACCAAGATTTCACTGCTGACGGTGCAACTGCAACAATCGTCGTCATCTCAGGATCATCGCCCTGTACTGCCGCCTCCTCGTCTTCTGGCATGTCCTCATCATCTTCGCTGCGTTTCCACCGCAGTTTCAGGCCGATCAGCAGCGTGAGCGTTGCCAGTGCCAGCACCTGGTTGCTTGGAGAATGGGATGGCTTGCTGGAGTTTGGAACCCCTTCTCCCCATCTCTCATGGCCCCTGCACCCATCACGCGAAGTAACGGAAGAAACGCAGCATCTCGCAATGTACAAGTGGGCATGGCACTGCCAACCATCCCCGCATCGCCGTGGCTACCGGCCCGTCGAGAAGCGAAAGTCCATCGGCGATGTGCGTGCCAGCTGCTTCTTGCAGCCGGCTGGTTCAGGGTTTAGGGTACAGGATTTCGTGTACATGTAAGGGGTTGTATTCGAGCCGACCGTGTCCGGATGTGCTTGTGAGATGCAGTGCCTTTTTCATGGTCCACGAAGGTTCGGTGTGGGTGTGCTCGACTGATAGACCCTGACAACAGGTGACCCAAAAGGCCACCCGATCCTCTGATTGAGCCCAAGCTGCGGCTGGCCTTACAGGTCCACATCGCGGTGATCTTGTGGGAGTTCAGGTGCTACTATTTGATCGTGTGGTCTTGTGGCATTTTCTGTACTTCTCAAAGGGTGTTGGGAGGTCTCCCTGAACCCAGGGTTTGGCTTTGCGCTTCGGCATGGGGACTTCCATTCGTTTAAACCTTCAAATCAACGAGCCTTTCTTGCAGCCATAGCTATACTGTAGGGGCCTTAATAATCAGAGTGGGGTGTTGGGGGATATTGTGCTAGTTAGTTATAACTATATGACTGCTGCTGATATCCTTACCCGGCTTTGGGGCCACAAGAAGAGGTTGTAGGCTCGCAGAGGTTCTTGCGACATGACAGCAGGTCTTTTGTTGCAGCTGGTTTGGCCATTACTGAACATTTCCATAGTAGCAGGCAGGCTCTCCATGACTCCACATGAAAAGGACTAAACTCTTAACCCTAATCCCTAAACCCTAAACCTTAAACCCTAAACCGGGTGGATGTTGAAACGTAGTTTCGGCAGTGTAGAAGGCCGATATACGAATCCTCCTGCCCCCGAAGACCTAAGAACTAAACACTCAACCCCACATGCAAAAAGACCGAAAACCACAAGCCTTCGAACTTCATTTCCTGACACTTCTTAGGTGAAAGTGCCATCCAACAATGGCCGAGATTCTGCAAGCAGGACCACTCTACCTGCCCAACAAAGCTCCAAAATGCCAGAAATGCCACGGCTCCTTCCCAGGGCGCCCGAGGGTGGCAATAGGCGAGCGGGACCAGTAGCGCAAAGGCGCCACCTCCCCCGACTGGGGTTTGGGGCTTAGTTCAGGGTCTAGGGCTTAAGTTCAAGGCTTCGAGTTTAAGGTTCGGGGTGTAGGGTTCAGGGGGTTTAACGAGCAGACATGCTCAAGAACAGATGGACGCAAACGACCGACACCCATTGATTTGCCTGCGTGGAAAGGTCAGCAAACGGACATGCAAGTGGACAAATTAAGGGCACACGGTTGGTCCTATGTAGGTCCTGGAGGGTTTTGAATACTTAGGAAAAATATTCCTTTACAGTACAGTCTCTATCTACCTATCTATCGGTCTTTCTTTCCATCTGTTTATCTATCTATGATCTATCTAGCCAGCTATTCACATACATACATAAAAACATACATACATACATACATACGGTCGAATATTCGTGTTACCACCTTACCCCGAGACGCTCGTCGAATCAACTAGTGGGGCCCCCCCCGACATTGTGGAACCCATGTGGGGCCTAAACCCGAAGCCCTTAAACACTAAACCTCCAAAGCCTCAACCTTTCAGTAATTTGATACTATAAGCCCTAAACGCCAGACCCTAAACGCCTAAACCCCCAAAATCCCTTAACCCCTAAACCCCGAACCCCCAAAGCCTCAACCTCTCATATCCGACTGGACTTACGGGCGCCTCCTCGAGCTCCCACGCGCGAAGCGCTTGGTTGAGGGGACTCTGCCGCCTCTTCCATCCAGTTTAGGGTTTAGGGTTTATAAGGTTTAGGGCTTAGTGTTTAGGGTTTAGGGGTTTAGGGTTTAGGGGTTTACGGTTTGGGGGGTTAGGGTTTAGGGTTCAGGGTTTAGGGGCTGCAGAAGTCCCCGGTGCGCAGTACTTCACGGTCCACTTGGAGGTTCATGAGTCGTTATAGGTGGGGTTATAAGTAGGGTAAATACAATTGTACCCGTATCAGGGGACTTATAACCCCACTTTTAATCAAGCAGGGTATCGGGACCTTAACACCGGAAACCTTACAGCCAAAGCTTGAATTACTTCCAGGTTTTGCAGTTATAGCTTTAGTCCTGACACCTCAGCCCTACGCAAAGTAGATGGCTAGCAGTGGGCGCGCCTGGTGTCGAACACCAAGGGGTTTCCACTGCCTTCCCACCTGCTTTGGCAGCTTGAATAATGGCAAGAAGACAAGTACTTTCAGGTTCAGAGGTAGTGAGAAGTGGGGTTATAAGGGGGCTTATAACCTCACGAATAACTACCCATGAACCTTCAAGTAAAAGTGCGGTCGGCCCAACACATCGCTCAGCTCGGTCGTCTTCCCCAAGATTGCCGTTTAGGGTTTAGGGTTCGGGGGTTGGCGTTTTTGAGCGAAGTTCGATGCTGGAGGGCCTGGAGATGTTGTGCGCCGCACGGATCAGCAGACATCCATCAAAGGGTTTCAGGTTTGTATACGTACTGCATTATGAATATTATATAAGTGCGTGTGGTGGTCTCATTAATATACTTATACTATACCACAAGGTACCTTAGAATGGTATACAATATCTTATTTGGCTTGGGGAATCGCCTTGGAGCTAGGGATCTGGTCTCGCCTGAAGGTTGCTTCAAACTTCCACCGAATGTCAAGTGTTCCCTGGCAAGCTCTAGGAAGTTTGCGGTGGATCCCCCCGGGCCCAAGTCGGACACCCTATCCTACTTGTCGGGTATCATGGGGAACTAAAGGTTAACCGTTTTGGTTAAACAGGGATTATATAGGGACTATACCACCCAAGAAAGGTTAAAGGTTACCTAGCCGACTACTAGGCTACAAGACCCGTGGGTCCCCGACCACGTCTTCACAGTTGTCTCATCCGACATCTGGAAAGCTCCGCCAGACCTGCACGCCGAGCTTCGGACCAGCAGTCATCACGAGTTGCATGGGGATGCCGGGGCGGGAAGATGATGATTCTAAGAGCTACTACTGTTGATGATATAAATCCTGCATTACCTTAATTTATGGCATATTCCTTATTATGGGTAATGCAGGATTTATATCATCAACCGTATTGCTGCTACTAAAGGAGCCGTTATAGAGGCGGTATGGATGCACTCCCAACCCGAGCTCTGTTCAGAGCCCTGCTGAAGTCCTTACAGAAGATCGAAAGAAATGGTGTGGGTCAGCCCTGAAACCCCGGGACACTGTGTTGAACTCTGCAAGATCATTCTACTAAAACTCCATGAAACCCAAATTGAAAAACCATGCTGAATTTTGGTATTAGGGCCAGTGCATGCCCACTCTTTGCCCACAAACCCTCAAACAAAAACACAAGCCCTCATATTTCCCTCACTTTTTGAAACGTCACATGACCCTTCTTGCATTATAGAACCCTTACTAAACCCTAAACCACAAACCCCAAAACCCTAAACCGGTCTTTCCATCATCCCTTTCAAGGCCTCGCCACGCGGCTCTCGTCCCGGAGCTCCAGGCTAAGATCCCGCAGCCTGAGCACTACTTCTTTTGGTTGGTGGGCGTAGGGTATAGGGTTGGGGTTGAGGGTTTTGGGTTGTGGTTGAGGGTGTTGGGTTGCGGTTGAGGGTGTTGGGTTGCGGTTGAGGTTTTTGGGTTGGGGTTGAGGGCTTAAGTTTGTAGAGATTAGGGTCGAGGGTTTAGGGTTTAGAGTCTAGAGTTTAGGTCTAGGAATTCAGGTATAGGTTGTAGAGTTTCGGTTTAGGGTTCACTTCTCTCGTCTGACAGTGATTTTACAAGCTCCACAAGGGAAGTAATGAAGCTGTCTGATCTGCTTGTTCTTGTGGGGCGTAACAAGATTTTGCTGGCACAGGCTACCTGGAGGTTCATGGGCAGTTATTATAAGGGGGGTATAAGCAGGGTAGCTACACTTATAACCCATATTAGGGGACTTATAATCCCTACTTATAGGTACCCATGAACCTGCAAGTAGGCCAAGCGCAAGACCTCAATACCCAGCATAGGTTACGGGGAACCTCAGAGTCTGGGTGTATATAAATAATGCTATATATATATATATATATATATATTTATTTATTTATTTATTTATTTATTTATTTATTATTGTATTACAGAATACTGGTAATTAATCATAAGGAAGCTTCCGACCCCTGTATGAGACTGGCGAGGCCCAAAACCCTAAAGCCTCTTCTTCGATCGGTACAGGGGCACTGAGCCCTGCGCGGACCCAGAGGCCACGGCAAGCCCAAACCTCCGCAAGCGAGGTTTAAAGTAAGCTCCATAAAGTTGGAAACCGGATTAAGGCCAAATACTGCCGGGATTCCCTATACATGACTCTTAAGGATTGAGGTGTAGGGTTCAGGCTTTAGGGCGAAGGATTGTCGGGATTCAGGCTTTAGGGCTCTAGGGTGTAGGGATCAGATGTTCATGACTTGGGGTCTAGGATGTAGAGTTGTAGGGCTTGCGGTGTAGCTTGTCTGAGTTCGGGCGGGATTTGCTGCTCGTGCATAGACGTTTATGGCTGCCGACTTCGGGCAAAGAGCTGAATCGTTAGGGTGTTATGCTTCCTGCAGAAGTGTGTGCTCAGCAGTCCCACGACACGACAGCAAAAGGGAGAAAGTGAGAAAGAGAGTGGGCAAGATAGAGAAAGACAGGCAGAGGAAGAACATAACATGTACTGCAATATGTCAAAAGTCTATAGCATACTACAACATATTGTAATACACTACAATAAACTACGATATACTATGATATACTGTGGTAAACCACAACAGACGATGATATCTCATAGTATACTGCTTAGGGCTTAGGTTCCGGGGATCAGGGTCTGGCACTGAGCGTTTGGACATCCCATCTTCAACCTGGACTTGACAGAACTAACTACCCAAACCCCCGGGAGGATCCAAAAAGTAGATCCCTTAGTGGGGGTTCCTATATAAAATACCCTTAGTAGTATAGGGCCCCAAATTAGGGGATCTACTTTCTAGATCCTTGCGGGGGTCTGGGTGCTTGCT